TACATGGCTTCACAAAATAATGCCTCAAAATCATAAAATAACTAATTTTTTAAGACTTTGACAATTGGAAAAAGCTGTAAAAAGACATTTTATTATTAATGTAGTTGGTAATAATAGTATATTACATATATTAGAAATTTTTATTATCTTAAAGCTTAGTTAAAATAATATGAATTATATATTTCTTTATTTCAATATTATTATTGAAAACTATTGGAACAACTCTTAATATCTAGTAATTTCATCTTTTAGGTAAATATGTTTACAAAACACTTTCTTGGCGTTACTTTAGAAATTTATTTCACAAAAAACTAATATTGACTTTCAGTTAATAATTATAACCTACTAGAAGAAGCCTTTGTATGTGTGTATATACAAATCACGAGCACCAAAATTAACTTGCTTGAAAGTTATTCGAGTACAACATTAAATCGTAAAAGATAATTTTACAATTTTTTACATGGCTTCACAAAATAATGCCTCAAAATCATAAAATAACTAATTTTTTAAGACTTTGACAATTGGAAAAAGCTGTAAAAAGACATTTTATTATTAATGTAGTTGGTAATAATAGTATATTACATATATTAGAAATTTTTATTATCTTAAAGCTTAGTTAAAATAATATGAATTATATATTTCTTTATTTCAATATTATTATTGAAAACTATTGGAACAACTCTTAATATCTAGTAATTTCATCTTTTAGGTAAATATGTTTACAAAACACTTTCTTGGCGTTACTTTAGAAATTTATTTCACAAAAAACTAATATTGACTTTCAGTTAATAATTATAACCTACTAGAAGAAGCCTTTGTATGTGTGTATATACAAATCACGAGCAGCAAAATTAAAAAAATGTAAACACTGCAATGTTTTAAAAATACTCTTATATTTATCTAAGTTTCGTGGATGATGTGTGCTCCCGATTTTTCTGTTCCTTTATGATGACGTCAATGCTTAAAAATCATATAAATCAATCCTGCATACAATCGTATATGTTTCTTCTACTATATCTATACTATATATCTTTAAAAGTATATATACAATATCAGTATTTTTGATTTTTTTTGCAAATCATTTGCTTTGCTTCGCCGATAGTCTCCTAAAAAATTCTGATATAATGCAGAGTGAGTTTGTATAATTTTTCGCTAATAATTCTAGGAATTTACATAAGTATAAAAACATTAGAAATGCAGAAGTGTGCTGAGCTTTTGTAGATAGTTGGTTATGTATATAGACATGTCATGGTCAGGGTCAGTTTAGAGTGCATTTTTTATAGTCACATACATATATGTATACATATGTATTTGCTTATATTGAAACTACTTTTGCGTTTCAGATTTAATTTAAAATTTCACTATAGTTCCCAACTACATATACATATAAATTGTATGCACATATTTGGATTTAATGGTATACATTTTTGTGAATATCAATTTATAGGTGGACGAACACCTTTATTAAGCATTATTTGAATTAATTACTTCGAACTTTCCATTGTGTCAGATGAACTTCGCTTACACAATTTTTTTTTCTCCAATGTATACAAATTAGTAAGGTAGAAGTAATTATTTATGAAAAAAGGTCTCGCTTAGCTCTAAATTTTAAAAAACAATAAAAAAGGGTTGATTTTGGCTTCACGTAAGCTACACTACCCATCACAGGTGCATTTCTAAATACAACTACAAGTACTTAGTCCTACCATAAGTGCTGTTACAAGTTCAGGCCGTTATAAAAATCCAACTGTAATACATAAATTGTTTATTAAAATTAATTTAGTAAATAATGTATATATTAAATGAGTGATGTACAGAATTGTATTGTCACCTTTTGCTTTCACATAACCCTCGAACGGTTCAGCCATTTGTCTAAAGCAGCACGTACAGTTTCTATTGGTATTGTCCGACGCTGCTGGACGCACGATTTTTTGAGACTCTCCAAATTTTTGTGGGATAGTCGACAGTTCTTCAATCACTGCTTTACCACGCTTTCTAAAACATCCTGCTGGTACACTTTTGCCCCAGTTTAAATTCTTTTTTCACAGTAGTGAAGAGGTGTAACGCCTTTATAGCAGACTCTTCATTAAACCATTACAGCAGCTGAATGGTGTGCACTTTGAGCCCATGGAATAACCTATTTTGCATCTTTGGAAGTTTTTTGTATTTTGTCGTTTTGCTCATAAGGAACTTCTTCTACAGTGACCATTTTTTCATCTATAAAAAGTGTATTTTCATGGCCCTTGAACGCGTGCCACTGAAGAAGCCGCTTGCATCGGTTAAACCTAATTAGCTTCGAGCACGTTGTGATCTACATCGTGAATGAACATTATAATACAATACATAAATGTAATCAATGCTTACGCGTATAACTTCAAAACAACTCACCAAAAATCTATTTCAATTTTCAACGATCCACCCGCTGGCAATACACCTTCTTTCTTTTACAGAAATACAAACGCTTACAGGTGCTTACATACCGATAAATGCGTCCCATTTACTCTCTGTGCTGAAAATAAGCTCTCACCCTGACATTAATAAATGAAAATACATATAAAATTCATATGTGTGCGTAGATATACCTTAACTACACACACACACACTTATAAATTTGGGTGTTACATGGTTTTGTAAACGCGGCGAATGCTCTGAGAATAATTCCCAATAATGGCGAACTAACATGTGAATGAGTATGACGCTGTAAACTTTACGTACATGCATATATATATGTATTTACATGTGTATACTAAGAATAATTGTAGCAATTTAAAAACACTGCGTCACGAATACCCAGAGGATTGACAGAAATGTGTCATTGTAAATACAAAAAGGAATAATATTTACATTAACTTTCGTCCGCAAGTTTGCAAAGCTGTAGAAAAATAAAAATATGAGATGCTTCTTTTAAGTATTAGTAGAAAATAGTCAATAATATGTTTTTATAAAATTATTTATTAATGACGGAGATGTCTTGTAGGTATGTAAATATATCGCATACATATGTACATATGCATGTCTATATGTGCAAGGGTAGAAGTAACCACTAATGGCCAAAAGAAATTTTATTATTTGTTAAATTACACTAGTTTACACCGAAAAAGCAACAGTTTATAAACCAATATATTTTTTTATCTGTACCATTTTCTTTTCTAAAAAAAAGGAAACAAGAAAAAGATTTTTTTATTTTAAAATGTTTTTTTTCGAAATAAGCCCCATCCCAGCAAGGTGTCTTATGAAAGATTGATTCATTTACCGGCAACTTGAAACTCAAAACTAAGAGGTAGATAGCAGAGGGCCAGATGATTTGTTTACCGGATGTCTGTCTGTCCGACAACTTATCCGTGCAAGCATAACTTGAGTAATAATTGAAATATCTTAAATGAACTTGATACACTTGTGTCTTGGCATCCCTTTACTTGCTATAAAATTTGTTCTCTCAACTGTTCTAAGATAAATCTATAATCAATGATGTTATCGAAATAGAAACAAGAAAAAACGTTAACTTCGGTTGCACCGAAGCTATAATACCCTTCACAAATACAAAGGCCCCTTACAAGAACTTGATTCTGAACGTTCAATTTGTATGGTAGCTATATGCTATATTGGTCTCATATCGGCTGTTCCGACAAATGAGCAGCTTCTTTGTGAGAAAAGGACAGGTGCAAAATTTTAGATCGATAGCTTAAAAACTGAGGAACTAGTTTGTATATATACAGACAGACGGACAGACAGACGGACATGGACTTAAAATTACGGTCAATTTGAAAGAAAATGTTAATGGTATCATCTTGTGATGTTGATAATGAGGCTTGTCACTAAAATCATATATCGGTTCAGTACTACTGCCATCATAATGATTTTCATTATTCCAGTTGACTTAAAAACATTTTTTGGGAATTGGACCACAATACAAAGTTTGCTGAAAAAATAGAATTTGTGTATAAAAAAATTTTCGCTTGGCGTTACTTTTGATGGAACCACTTTCTAATTGAATTGGGCTTTTTGAACGTATTTTTTTTTACAAAATTAATTAACAAAAGAAAATTAATGTATTTATTATTTATTTTGCAAAACTAACGGCTATTGTTTCAATTGACACAAATAATATAACAACGTAGTTAAATTAATAATTATAAGAATAATAAAGTACAAAAACAAAAAAAAAACATTTTAAATAACATAATTTACTATATATTACTATAAAAATATATATATATTAATTATTATAAATACTCATTATATGTTTTTTAAATAGAGGCTTTTTTTATGATAAAATTGTAAAATTTTATTGAAATGACTTCAAAACTTAAATGACTTCGAGCGAAACTAAATTGTTTATTTATATCGTTTGTACATTCAGTGATATTGCTGTTTACTTTCACAATATAGTTTTTTTCCACACACGTGCAAAACAATATTTCTTCCTCTTCTAAGATTTGATAAGTTTTTGCCCAGTGCACCGTTGCTATTTGTGCAATATTGAATGGGCATTTAAATATAAGGAACATGTGTTCAGCAGATATAATAACATATGTACATGCAACGTAAATGCTGTCTGTGCTTTGGTACACTTGTTTTGCACTATAGCCAATTGTGCTGTTACACTTAAATGCATCAAAAGAAATCATTTGAAAATGTGTGGAGGAGGTATCGTAAAGCGGAATAAGAATATTATTTCGACAAATAATAAATAATTTTAAAAAAAATTCCCATTAACTTAAGTTTTGAAAAGTATCTCAAATAATTGTAGTTATTTGGAGTAAATATTTTCATATTTGAAATTGAAGAACTTACTCGAAATTCGTATACTTTCTATTGTGTATATTTTTTATCAATAAAAAATTCGAATTTTCGGAAATTGTTCGACAAACAATTAAAAAACGTTAACTTCGGCTAGACCGAAGCTTTAGTGAATTTTTTGTAGCATAAAAGCGTATAAAAAAGTCCTTATCTTGGTTTTGATCTCTCTGTTTGAATGGCTATAGCTGCTATTTTTGTACGATCTGAACAATTTCTTTAGAAATTGTAGCGATGCTTGGAATAATAATCTATGCCAAATTTCGTGTCAAATAAAAAAGTTTTCTATGGGATAAGGGACTAATTCGCGTATATACAGACGGACAAATAGACATAAACTGACTCATCTCGTCACGCTGCTCATTTATGTATATACTTTCTTTCTATGCGCTATCTTCTGGGTATAATAAAATAGCGTGTATACTAAGAAGCAGCGCTGCAAATAATTCATTAAGAAGATATTTGAATTAAAATTAAAATTGATTTTTTTTTATTTTTCAATTCCCAAAAACTTAGAAAAAAGTAATTTTAAATTTTCTAATTCCAAATACCGGATTGAAAAACTAGAAACAAATTTTTAATTCTCAAAGTTGGATTTAAAAGGAAAAAATAAAAATTTAATCCCAAATGTCAGAATTAAAATCTTAGTCTCAAATTTATAACTAAAAATTAAAAAATTGTGTTTTTAGTTAGCTTTGCAAAAGGGTAGCTTATTTTAATAAAATGTCAATATCAGTAGTTTAACATTCTTCATGTTATTTACATTTAATTAATTTTAATTATAGTGTTTTAGAAATATGTAAAATTCTTCTCTCCTTCAAGCTGATGATAAAGGACCGATCGACAGAAACTGTCATATACAAAGTGTTTAATGTAATTAAAAAGTCACTACTTCACCAACAGTACACAATGGCTTAACATAGAAGGAGCTTTTAACAATATAGAAATAAGTACGACTATGGATTCTCTGTCACATGGAGGTTTAAATGACATGGTTTGCAGATGCACACGACCGATGCTTATAAACAGAATGATTATAGCATCAAATGGATCAGCGACCCGAACAAGCCACGTAAGCAGAGGCACTCCTCAAAGAGGTGTCCTTTCCTCGCTTTTACGAATAGTGGCGCTAAATGAATTACTACTTCAACTCAATGGAGAAGGGGTGAAAGCAATAGCATATGCAGAGGACATATTGTTGATGGTATCAGGGATGTTTCCTTTCACAATCAGTGAGATTATGAAAAGAGTCCAATGAAGGTTACACCTATAAGACGAGAACAAAGAACTAGGTGTAAACCATAGTAAAACGGAACTGATGCTTTTCACGAATAAAACAAAAATAGCTCAATTTAATCTTCCCTCACTTGGTGGTACAACAATTTCTCTGTCCCCAAATACAGCCTATTACACGTGCAAAAGAATACTTAGCAGGAACTGGAACCTGAACCCAAATATAGTCATGTGGACATATGAAGCCTCTATCTAGAGACGGATGTATACTCCAATGATCTCGAAATCTCTCTCTCTATACGGCTACCAAACTCAGCCAGCATCTTTCAAGCGGAAGTACTAGGTATAGAGATAGCCTGTGATGTTCTATTGAATAATTACAGCGCCACAGATAAATTCCAGCGTAGTAAACAATTGCAGGAAAATTTTAAGCTCACTGGCAGGTCAACTCCGTTTGTCTACAAAATCCCGGGCCACAGGTACAGTTTCGATAACGAAAAAGCAGACGAGTTGGCCAAGCTAGGAGCCTCCTTAGACGACAGAGTTAATACCATTTCCGCTGGGAACGACCAAAAGATAACTTTATACATACGTTTTCAACAAATAGCTACAAAGCAGGTGGAAAGCAATAAATAACTGCAAGATAACGAAGCAGATATTAACCTAGTATGAAAAGACTAGAACTAAGGACATATTACATAGGTCCAGGAACAGTATGTACATACTTACAGCTACTAAACAACTAAAACAAAAAAGGCAAAATGGATAGAGCACCAACTAGTTTGAGTGCAGCGGTGAAACGAGACAGCAAGATTAAAAAGGTCCTATGATAGAGCAACAAAATAGCGCATTCAGAGCTAATTGAACTCAGGGTGGTAGCACTCCTACCTATCTAACAATCTAATTTTCGCTGTCTAAAGTACATATAGTGGGATATACAAAACCTATAACATTTGGACACGCCGTTTAGTGGTGATCCTAGACTGGCTAGTGCTCCTGATGATGGAATCACTTAAGATCCTCTAGAGCACCAGAAGGATGAGCGACACATTTCGTACATTACGAAATCGCATTTGACAATTAGTGAAATATTTAAAATTAGGTAGACAGCTAAATGCTAAATTTGGAGAACTGATCTGAATATTACATTTGTGACGAATTTCATCATCTCCATACTATATATATTAAGTGCACTTATCGAAAGAAAACTATCATATAACAAATTATTTAAAATGAGTACTAAAGCGGACTAACAGCCGTTTGTCCACACTCATTCACACACTCTGTTCACCAATCACAGTAGAGACATACGGAGATTTATAGAGGGTTAGGTCAGTAACTAACTACTACAGACGCAACGCCAAAACAAATCAAATGCACTTGAAGTAAATCAAATGATTTTACAGGCAATGTAACGAGAATGTAAATATATATATGTCTGTGTGCAGCAGCGAGTGCACTGTAAATGCACTGTTAACGAACCAATGGAGAGACTGCAAGAAAAACTAGCACACGAAAATATTATATGTAATTCACATACACGTGAACACACTCTCTGAGCACCAAATTATTATTTGCGCATGTATGCGGCTTTGTAACGTATATATGTATGTATGTGTGTATTTGTTATGTATTACGAAGTATTCATTGACAATTTTGTGCTAAACAATTCCAAGTATTTTCATTTTCAAGTATGACGAAAATTCCCGCGTTCGCTTCTGCTCAACATAATGATATTTTCAACGGCAGACACGCATGCTGATCGCCGGCAACACGTGTGTTGCATCAGACTTTTTGGCTATGAACGTGAGACGTCTAAAGATTATAACAATCACTATCAACTGTACATTCTTATATATTTATTCAAATGTATGTATGTTTTTATTTTGATACCAAACATAAACATTGATTTTTCAGAAAAAAGAAAATAAAAATGGCGCGTGAATAGGTAACCAAACGGAAATAGAGACTGCGAGTATTTAGGGAACAAATAATAAGTCGCTTTTAAGGAACCAAAAATAATTTAAGCAGCAAATTAGAAGTTAACAGTGTTCACTCATTAAGTCATCTGGACATAATTACATTACTCAAAACAATTTGGATTATAACATACCATAGATGGCTGAAAATCACAAAAAACAAAACATTTTTTTAATCTTTGACCTCGAGTAAATTTTTTTCCACATACCGGAACGATGAGGCGTTTTTCACTCACTTTCAACTTGTTGTAAATTTATGCATCTTTGAATGTCGAGATTGACCGGATTATGATGAGAAAAACACTATTGATGAAAGTCATCGCTTGATAAATGGTATGACAAAACTGCCCTAACATATTCAACGTTCAAGTACTGGCTTACTGAATTTCTGCGTAACTGTATCAGCACATTAGAAAAATTGATGACCATTAAGGAAATTGAGTGAGTTAGTTAACATCAATAGTATCTCAAGGGAATACATATGTCAGACCACCCACGAATTTTTAAAAATAAAAAATCTTTGTGTACGATGGGTTCAGCGTTTTTTAAACATCGTCTCTCATTCAGCTAGTAATACCGATGAGAAACTGAAGGAATTACGAACTACATACATATGTACCAATCCGACATCCACCGTCTTCGGCAGATTTAGTCTCCGAGACAAAATAGTCCTTTTTCCGCAATTCCAAAAGTGGCTCGATGGAAAAATATTTCACTCAAATAAAGGAAACGCATATTGATCACTATCGAAATACGGTAGGACCGTTACAACAAATGAACACCTATTGCTGAAATTATCTCGAAGTAAGAAAAGAATGAAGCCATGTTTTCATTAACAAAACTTTATTTCATTGTTCGACCAAATACTTTTCAGCCCATGTTAATCTGATTTCTTTTAATTTAAAGTCAGTATATGTATATAGTAAATTTTAAAGCAGTTATCTACATATATACTATTTACTGCCAATGTTTATATAGAATATAAGTTCTTAATCCAGAGGGGTTAAATCGCATGATCTTGGCAGCCATTTGACTGGGCCATTTCTCGAAATTAACGAGTCACTTTGCAAGCAATGTGTCCATGTGCAGACGTGAAACATGAGGCGGCGCACCGTCTTCTTGGATATAGAGATCGTCCGCGTCAATTTCATCAAAGTCCGGGAAAAATGTCGGTCAACATCGTGTTATAACGTTCGCTATTGATAGTAATGGCATTTTCTGCCTCATTTCGAAAGAATTAAGGCCCGATAATGCCGTCATACCACATTCCGCACTAAACGGTCAATTTTTGGAGATACAATTGCGTTTCCTGGACCACACGAGGATTTGACTCACACCAATACCGACAATTTTGTTGGTTGACGAAACCATTAAACCAGAAATGGGCCTCATCTGAGCAGATGATTTTTCACATGAAGAGCTCTTACAGTGGCCACCTATAAGTAAACGCTGTATTGTCTAGATTACTTATAGGAGTTAAGTTTGGTGAATTTATTAATTTTTTATCTTATATATTGTATATTATATATATAATGAGTAATAGTTTTTTATACTATTTTTTTATTATTTATAAATTAGATATATTGTACATATGTATATAAGTATGTGTAGATAAATACACACTATTCCCTCGAAAAAATCGAATTATAGTCCATTTTAGGCGCACAGTTTGGACTTTTGTGTGTAGTGTGTTTACTTCACCAAAATTTGTCTACGTTTCTCTATTGAATCACACGCACGCGCCATTTTTTCTGCATACTTAAACAGCTAAGTAAATAGACACTCCATACATAAGCGGGTATGTATTTGTGTACATGGATAAGTAGAAATTGGCAAACAAAACGTAAACACGCCAAAAATGATAGACGTAAAATAAAACTTAGGGAAAAAGGAGAGGAAAATAAGAAAAATTATGTTTTCTATATTAACTTATCACACGCTGTTTGCAATTACATAGACAGTGTATTATACTTATTGACTAACTAATATCCCTCGCTATTTTTAACGCTAGACTGTGCTTTTACTGAGTAAATGATAATTTACCCTAAATAAAAAGCGTCACAAAGTGATCTTCATTATAGAATTCCTGTATCTTCCAACAGCTTGTTTTGCTAAAAATTCTAAAAATACTCATATATCCAGATCTAGAAGCTTTAGAAATCAAGTACTCAAGAACGCAATTGATTTAGAAATATTTATCAATAATTTGTTATACATAGATATTTATATTTATATATGTATATATGTACATGTATACAGTATTTTTAATAGTTAAAAGAACCGAATATTTTTTGTCTAACTTTCATTTAATTAAAAAACAACAAACAAAGTTGAAGCAAAGCACTCTATAAACTTGTTTTCGAAAAATCATTAGACATCGAAATGATGTTATAAGTTTAATACATAATTGTGGAGACACAGACATAATCGTGTATTTACTTACCTACATATGTATGTTTGTGAACGCACATAGTCATACACGCTGAGCTCCAAGATCTTAAGAGCCGAGCACTACCAGAATTTTAGTACACTAGGTCTCCCTCTCCGGTATCATTAGTTTTTAGTACAGTTGATTCGGCACAACAATTCAAAAATCCGACGGCATGTAGAGTCGCAGCCAACGAAAGATTTTCCTCTCTGTAAAACAAACACATGTCCACAGAGAAGAGATATTTACTTCCTCTATAGAGGCACACAACCATAGCGCTTGAGCTTTATACATATACTTCTGATATATTTTTCGGCAGTGTTCAACAAGTGTGGCGGCGAGTAAAATAAATTCTGTAAATAATTTCTAGAGTGGACAAATGTTTAGTATTTCTTATATGGTAAAAATGTGTGCTAAACCCTGCGAGAAATTGAAATGCTTGTTAATATACTTGTATTTTTAAAAAATTTGGTGACGAGTTCTCTTACAGTTAAAGTAATTGAGAAGTTGTCTTGTCAGTTATTTTTTATTAAAATGTTATAGTTTTAATAATTGACCCTACAGTTTGTTAAAGGTAACTGAAAAACTCTCTTTTAATTAACACTAAACAATTGTTTGATTTTTCTGCATGCTATATAAATTTTCTATAGCTGGGATATTGCTATAAAAATTAATAATAATAGACTTTTTTTCAAACAACAAATTTCATAGTACAAAAAGAAAACTACTTTTTATTTTTAAGAATAGTATATTATTTTCTACACATTCTTTGCTATAAATTCTAGAGCAATAACAGTTCTATTGTTTACCGTATGTTACATAGTATGTTAGGCAGTTATTTCTTGAGGGGGCACTTGAACAGGCAAGTAGTCGTTAAGATACACTTGTGGACACATAACTAGTCACTCGTTTTCCATTGTATTTTATAGTAAATATGGTTGTTTGTTTTTAATGTAAAAAGCAAATTTCGCTATTACGTTACGACTTTAAGGCTTATCTTGATAAACTAAAGTAAATATATTATTATTTTATAATTATTCCTGTATATTATTATAAGCTTTTTATAGTATTAATGAGATAACATGTAGTATTTTGAGAATGTCTTGTCTTTGTCATTTTATCTTTTCTTTTTTTTCAAATAAATGTATCGTTTTTTTTTACAAAAGACTGTTTAATAAAAATGTATCGCTAATATTTGTTTCTTGTAGAATTAAAAAAATACTTCCGAAGTAATGAAAACGAAGACCTTATATGGGATGAATTCAAAAAGTAATTTTATTTCCCTGGTAAGGAGTTCATCTTTTGAGGCTGTAGTTGAAGTGTCAGTTCTGGTTTATCTAATACATTTAAAAATTTGCCAATTTTACCTTAAGGAATGTAACTGATCTGGACACACAAATTATATGGCTGCACGATTCATTAATAAAAATTGTGTTTTAAAACCTTTAAACAATTATTAACTTGAATTAGTAGTAAATGATATGAGTTTCCAATTATGTGGAAAACGATTTAATTATATGTTCACGACTGTATCTGACATATGCTAGGTGAGCGGAGGCGGACGTACACTGCTTGTATTGGTGTTGGTGCTGACGAACGCCTATAGATAGAGGTGCTCAGCGCGGTGCAAACTCAGTTGTTGCAGAAACTTCGAAGTGTTAATTTTGGATTTTATGGTTGAAAAGAAAAATATAAACGCAAAGTATAGAAAAAGTGGAACATAAGTGCTAGAAATTATTGAATCACAGGATCAGTAAATTTAAAACTGAATAGTGATAAAATATATACACATATATGTGTGTATATGAAACAGTGTAGAATAAAACAGTAATAATTGTGAACTTGATTACTGATTACAATAGAAGCAACTGCAAAGGACTGACTGTGCCTAGAGTGTGGGACAGTGTGAATAAGTAAACGTAATCTTTTTTTTTTTGACATAACCAACTTGTTGGCGAATCTCATAAAAATAAACTGACAAGATGACTACCAAAATGGCGATTAATGCAAAGGTGCGTATGAGACAAAAAGAAATTTAAAGCAAAATAAAAATATTGTAATAAGTTTGTATAGAACGGAAAGAAAACGACCAAATAAATTTTTGTTGGCGAGATGTAAGTAGCTACTTGTAGATATAGTGCAGGCGCCCTGCAAATAATGAAAAAACGCAGATATCTACTTACATAAATAAGTAAATTTGTGAAGATGCGAGGATGTGCAAATATTTAGTAAAAATTCACGGTATCAAAGTTGAGCAAGAAATATTTTCAACCTTTAAAACCAGAAACCTTGTAGAAACAGTTGCACAAAACTAGTGCAAAGCATATTTTAAAGTCGCAAAAAAATCATTTTTAATTATGCAAAAATTAAAGGCAAATTCACAAAAAGACATGCGAACAACTAAAGGTGGTTTCTTGCGGTTCGCCACTCAGCGCAAGTCTGCCTGGTTATTTACATATTTGTCGACGTTTTGTATAATTTTATTCTTTTTTTTGCACACATTTCTTTCGTTTTTTTTTTTAGCCGTTTGTTGCTAACAAGGAATAAACGAAACTTAAGTGTGCTGCTCGTTCGCATAAAATCAAAGAAAAAATAGAAAAAATTTAAAATGTGGCATTTTTTGTTGCTCGCTGATTTTGAAGTTTACGGACGCCATTTGAATTTTTTAGCGGTCGCACTTTATAGAAATGCACATACATATATGGTATTGATACATGTGCATGCGTCTTAATATTTTGTTGTTACAAAAAAAATCGTGATTAACTCTAATTTGCCCGTGCCAATAGGTATGTAGATAAGGGTGCGTAAAGTAATATGTATTATAAATCTAATGACATACAAACACACAAGTATGTGTAGATATGTAAATACTATATGTATGTATGTATATACGTGTTGTGTATACAATTAAATTGTCAAATCGGCACTCTTTCGACAATTTCTAAAGTTTATTTCAAGAATTCGCTGTGATTTATTGTGTCTCGAGACTTTGCTGATTCTGTTTAAACTCTTGGCCCGGCTATATTCGCGATTACTTTCGTGCTGTGTGTTTTTGTTTTCAGTGTGCATTTTAGTTATTTTCATTCATCATTTTTAGAATCTTTTACGTAACAACAAATTGATATTTCCTTTTAATTTTAATTTCAAACGTTTTTAGAGAAAACATTTTCCATTATCACTTCATATCTATACATAACAGACGTTTGCGTTGACTTGTGAATTTAATTAAGCTACAGTAATCAATATTTAATTTGAGTTGAATGCGGTAACATTCGCGTAATTTAGAGAAAAAAAATATTATTTTATTAAATATTGAAATGAAAAAGAAAAAGTTAATTAGAAAATTAGCCTAATTTGAAAAAGTAAAATTATTTTAAATATGTTTTGAAAATCAAAAATTAAAAATATTATTTAAAAAAATTTAAATTGAAATATAAAATATTCTTTCCGATAACTTTCAAAAAATATAATATATAAAATATTTTATTACCTGAAGTCCACGTATTTTATTCAACCTTTCTTTTTCGAACAACGGTTATAAATCGGCTTGGAATAATATTAGCTTACATTTGCAGATTTGCGGATTATTAAATATTCTATACATACATATACCTATGTTTAGGAACTGTGGAATACTCAAGAAGCTTAAAATATATTAAAGATACTCGTATCAATTGATACTATTTCATAGATATTATTCAATTTTTAGTACTAAATTTATTAAATACTAAATACATACATACATATGTATGTATTAATATATTAACTTAGTTTTTATTCTTAGTAAATGTAAAGAGGCATACAGATCACGTAATGCAACAAAATCATCATATGCAACAAAAAGATCACGTACACCAGGTCAAATAAAACAGACCTTAATGATTTCTTAGTTAGTAAAAATGTTTTGTTTAAAAAATATGTATATATGTATTTTTTAATAAAATGTCAAAATATATCTTCTTAACTTTTTCATTATAAGCAATATTATTTAGAAAATAAAAATAAAAAATCGGAACTATGCCCCTATAGTTGAACACTTTCCTTCATATTGCTTTTCAAAACATTAAATGAAGAATATTGATCCATTTTTTTCTCTATCAAACCAGCTTGACAACTTCTTAAACTTTTGTAATTCCCCATCCGTTACACTAATTCATCCATGTTTCACAGACGGTTTTCGTTTTCGATAGCTGTACCGCTTTTACGCCGCAAAAACTTTAATTTCTTTTAATACTAAATATGCAATATTTTCATTCATCCGAGAATAAGATCTTTTCACAAAATTCTGGGGCCTGGTTATATACGCATTTTCAAAATCCCTCGCTTTATTTCTGTTGACTGCCACTCTTCTCCAACATTTTTCATACGACGTTCTCATATATATCCTTATCAAACGATTTTTTTTTATAATTTTCGCTTATTTAAGAAGCATTCTTTTACTGATCGCCATATTTCATGTTTCTTGCGTGCGGGGAACTTGCTAGGCCGACCAGATCGAGTTTTTTCGATTGATATCTTCATATAATTTGGTCTATTTTACGGAAAGTCTTTAAAATTTGTTTAGTTTCAATATATGTAATTTTCTATCTCCTTTGCTAACTTCTTTCTTTTCGGAAGCCATCGTAACTTCGTTTCCATAAAAACTTCGAATTTTTTATAAAATACCGTATAGCGAATAATATTGATCTCACAGTAAATATAACCGTTTTTGAAACAAAATAGGCCGCTACGTTAAAAGGAGAATTCCGTTTTTGAAAATGTACGGAAACTTTTTCTGATTAAAAGATCTGCCATATTTTTGTATGCGTTAAAAAAGAGTCTTTAATACTTACCATTATGAAATATGCAGCAAATTATAGACTAATATTGATTTGTGATTATAGAAGATTATAGATAGAAAGTAGTAGGGATATACGTATGTAGGTCTATTTCTATCATTCTTGATAGGTAAATATGTACATGAATGTGTATATTATTTACTTATTCATTGCCTCAAATTAAGTGCAAGTTTTTATCTTTGCAATACTTATTATATACATAGTTTATATGTTTATACTCAGAACACGCTACTAGGTTTATAAGTATGCGTAGTAAAATGCTTCATTTATGATTCTTAGTAGCAGTTATCATTTGTTTCTGTTTGTAAATATTCATAAAACATATGTATGCATGTATATGGCATATTTGCAATCGCAATAAACAGTTATCTATAGCTTTTGCAGATTGCTAAACATACGAGTATGCCTAATGTTTTTGTTTTGCATAGGTTATACAAAATGCAACAAAAACAAATGCTAGATATAGAGATACAAATATAATGTTATGAACGAGAGGCGAAGCTTTCAATTTTAGGAAGTGAGGAGATTGCTATACTTCAACAGATGAAATGAAAACTGCAGCGCTCACGACTGCATCTACAACAAAAGCAAATGCATTGCAATTGCACAAGGCGGCACTCACATGCAAATGCAAACTGCATGCAGTTACCTACACCCTAACTACTACCCGATTATCAATGTCAAGTCGACCCGGTGGGGTAGTTTCGGCACTTTTCATGGGCATCTCTTTCGAGATTGCAGCACGGTGTTGTTGGTTGCAACAATAAACAAATTGCTGTTAGATTGTCATGTTGTATGTGTGTAAATAGGTATGTAGAATAGGTAGAATTTAGGTAGTCTTCTGTTTTTCGTTCTTTTGCTACTTTTGCAAAACTTGTTTTATTTTTCATTGGCGTGCACTTTCCAAATTGGTCATTACCAACAAATTCTCAACCAACTCATAAGTGGTGGAATTTAAATAGTTGATGCCGGCGAAGGATTCTTTAGCTTTGCGCAGAGGCGATATCGTAACCAATGAAGTTCTACTGAGGTGCGATTATTGCTAGTTGAAAACTTTAACCAATACCCCGCCATGGGGGACGTGAAATACCGTCCACTACGGCAATTTTTGGAAGCCCGAGAGGGCTATTAATTAATACATAACACAAGGTTGATAATTAACAATAAAATAGTTGACTTAAGTAGTATGAAGAGTGAAAGTGCCTAATTGCGGCTGTTGACCAGCGTACTCTTCAATATTTTAGTAAAGCCAAGGTAAACATCATATTGATGAAAAATATTTTTATTTGTTAAAAATAGCCTCCTTTTGACTCGCGTTTTTGTTAGTTTTCCTTTTACAACAAATTATGAAACATTTTTATAAATTTAGGTCAATTAAAATTTTTAAGTTTGATAATAAACAGTTGCAAATAATACATTAAAATTAAATAATTTTCTTTTTTTTAGTTTGCAACCACGAAAATTCAATTTAAAAAAATTTTTTATTTTTTATCCCAAATAATTTGACTGAAAAAATTAAAAACAAATTTCTAATCCCAAATATTATCAAAAAAATTAAAGCAAATTTTTAAATAAATAATATTTTTTAAATTTTTTGTCCGATTTTGAGATCAAAAGTTAAAATTTCAATTATTATTAATAAATAAAAGACGAAATTTTCAATTATTCATCCTAAACATCTTGGAATTTAAAATTTAAAATGTTCTTTTTAATCCAAAATTTTTAAATTAAAAATTCGCCACTCAGGCGATCAAAATATACAATTTTAATCAAAATATAATATTTTACCATTCGTAGTACAATTTAAAATTGACCAAATGAACTAAAAACAGTTATTTCCGTAGACGAAACATTTCAAGGCAAATTTATGCGGGAAAGCAGCAGCACAAAAACAAAACAAAACAAAAATAGAAGAAAATAAAAAGCAAAGTGTCAAAATAGCACGAAAGCAAATTATAAAGAAAACATTAGCGCCTTGCAAAATATTAAAAATAATGCAAAATTAGAAACTAATCAGTATATTTCCATAAGTTTAATATGCAAATAAATAATTCTAAATACTTGTTAATTAGAACTCTGAAAATATGCTGCAGCAATAGTAAAAAAACGTAACAAGCAGCTGTTGAAGAAATACAGTGTATTTGCTGTTTTTATGAATTTGTTTGAAATTACAGTGCAAATGTATAAAATAAATTGCAAAAAGTTGAAATAACTGCTAATAAATAATCTGAGACATTAGCGAGGGTGATTACCTATTGTCTTCAAAATAAATTTTCGTCCGGAAGAGCAATATCATCAAATACATTCCGAAAAATTTTCATATATGGATTTTATTTTTTGCAAAGTCACTTATTAACCAGCGAGGCAATGTGCTAATTTTTATCTGCAAGATTATCTTAGATTATATATATTATAAATTAGCAAATATCTATAATGTGATTTAAATTTACTAGTGATAATGGCTCAATATTATTGCTTCCAGCTGTTTATTTTTCTATTTATTAACATACTACCTACCTATGTGTAAATATGTATTTTTAAATGAGTATAGTTTCAAAATAGTGCACCATTAACACTGACCGCGGTCAAGCTAAAAATATTCGTTTTGAGCGTTCTCTCCTCATATAAACAAGTTGTTACATCAGTTTTTTGTTGGATGATGCAAAATTCCAAAAGCAATTTTCAAGGGTATAAACAAATAAATATTTAAATTTGTTTTGTTTAAAAATAAATTTATTTGGGAAAATTATTGACTTTTGAAAACTAGTATATTGCATCAGTTAGTCGAGCCTATCAATAATTCTCGCTTACTTGGATTATTTCTGAATGCCGTTTTAGAACTATTTTGCACATTACACATACATACATAGTAGATGATAAATACAAATAAACATTTTAGTTTTGTTTTAAAGCAAAAACAATTTTTGTTGAGCGAAAATAACAAAGTTAGTTATTGATTATTAATCGGATGTTCACATTGTTTATATGTGTGCATATACTATATAAGTACATACGCATACATACATATATTTATATACAAACAGTATCTAACTAAGTTTAGTGCTAATTAAATTTGTGTGCGTATTGAAAACACCATTTCCTTGTAATTTTAGAAATAACGTTCGAACTTTCATTTTTGTAAAACTGAAAAGGACTTAAAATTTCTTTATGTTTAACAGCAAACAATAAATACTGTTAATGGCTATAAATTATTTCGCGCAGAAAAAAACACTGATTTCTTTATATTTGTAAATAAGCATGCTGATTGTTTTGAAAATTGCTTGCTCGGTAACAGGATTGAATTTTTATTGAAAGATTTGGACAAAGTGGATTCATACTAGTTAAATTAATTTATTAGCATTCATAGAAATGCCTACATTTATTAATCGGAATAAAATTTTAATTGGGTTATCATTGGGTCAACGACGTGCCCTAACTTGCATATGTTCGTACAAATGTAGATGCTTTTACATGTTCAAAAATATTTATAAATGGAATTGAAATCAATTATTTGAAATATTTGTCTGGTATTTGACAAAGCTAATTGAGATAAAGTTTAATTGTAATCAAATTGTCATTTATTGACGAGGAGTGTGTGCAAATGATCGCTATCGACTGCGTGCCGAAGTGGACTAGTTTAAAAAAATAAATGTATATTTTTTTTTTTTAATAAATATATTTTTTATATATGTATATACATTTTTTTACTTTAATCTCATTATTACAAGTAAGTAGGAATTTATTTTTAGGGTGGAATCCACTTTTTTTCGAAAACCCGGGAAGAGAAACCAAGGCATCTATAATATATGATCACTGATTTATAATTGGCACCAAATATATCTTATTATGTTACTCACGCTATTTTTTAGTTATATTAAATTATAAAATACCAAAGCAAAAAAAATAAATTCAAATTTTTTAATTTGTAGCATGGTTTCCTTTTTAGAGAAATTTCTCACTAATTGTAGCATTAGATTTGCAATTACTTAACATTTTTTAAGTAACGGTGACTCATTGTATTGTATTGTGTTTGTATGTCAAACATACAATTTTTATTTTTAAAAATAAAATTTTCTAATCTCAAAAACAATATAGAGCCTAATTTTCGTATCTTAAAAAATGCCTCTGATACTTGAGAGGTTATATCAACTCGAGAATTTTGAAAAATTTAATTTTTTTCCTTATACATTAAATATACATTAATATTATATATTTCGGAGATATGAGTAGGAATTTTTAACTTAGGGAAAGCGGCTCCCAAAACTTTACATGCGTTTTTCTCGAAACACTGTCGATAAAGAAAATTTCTTGAAAAGGCTGGACCAAGCGACTTGATATTTTCACACAAACTGCTTAGATATATTTTTTTTATGTATTATACATAAATACATATTATGTTCGAAATTATTATTAATATTATCGATTTTTTTAAAATAATCTGAAGTTCAAAGTTTTTCATAAAAAATTTAAATTTTGAATAGTTCTTCGACCTATATTCATCTATTGTAATAAAATAATTTTTTTTGAATTTGAGACTAAGCAGAAAAAACTTTCTCACAGTCAGGCACGTTTTTTCTGACTTGCCAGTGGTTTTAACCTTTTAAACTCACAACAGTTTTGAAACGCAATTTTAGAGACACACCTTTAAGCTTATTTCATTGCATTCAACATGATGTTAATTTTCTTTTTTCCCGAAAATCCAGGAGCGTCACTATTTCAACCATTTATTGAGGCATTTAGCTTTTCGCCTTTTAGATTCCGTTTCATATATAGGTTTTCAATTTATGCATAATTATTTATATTTATGTATATTTCCATGTAATGGTATATTTTACTTGCAGTACTTTATGTAATTGATCACATACGCCACGGTTTGATGCAACATTGAACTTTATACATATGCGCTTTAAATTCAAAAAGGTCTAAAAGGAGCAAGCACTTGAAACAAAAAACGCCAGTAAATGGCTTTCACTTGATCATTCCCGGCGTATAAATTAATTATGTATATAAAGTTTTAAAAAATGATCATTACTGCTAGCACAAAGAAATCTATACGAAATAAATGCGCAATATGTAGATTTCCCCATGTGACAAGGGGCAAACGGCGGACACCTTAAATGAATTACATTACATTTAAACTAGTTAATTTGCAATTAATTTTGTTACGTAAATTGTTTTAAAACTAGAACATCGATTTTGATTTTATTTTTTTTTAATTCTTAAATTTTCTTTTTACACAATTTTCAATAGCTAATATTTATTCTTTTTAATTCCTTTCAGGATATATTCCGCAACCAACATAGGCTAATACGTTTCATTGAGCAGTCAATTCGTTTGTGCAGTAATCAGTCATTGAAAACCGCACAGAAACACGTAAAACAACAGGCTGAGCCCGACTTCCAGATCACCACATCGATCTCCAGCGCCTACACAACTGCCCCGGAACCGATCAAACACGATGCGGATATAGGTCAACAGTTCGCTGCCGTACAATTGGCCGTACGACTGGCCTCGCCACAACAATTGCAACCTAAACCAGATAATGATGAGGCTTTAAGTTTTGGCAAAGTATTCACCGATCACATGTTGAAAATCTATTACCATCGGAGTTTGGGTGGGTGGCAGCGACCGGAGATTACGCCACTCGAAAATCTCGTTATGCATCCCGCGGCAAAAGTGTTGCACTACGCTGTAGAGGTAAGACGATCTTCTTTTCACATAACTACTTAATAAAAAATCAATAAAGCGCTCTTTGCGAGTTAACTTCTTATTTATTAATCCTACCGCAGTTTAAACTTGTTATACTGACCCCGTATTGAAAAATTCTTCTCCCGTTCTTTACAGCTTTTTGAAGGCATGAAAGCTTATCGTGGTGTTGATGGCAAAATTCGTATTTTCCGCCCGAACATGAATATGAATCGTATGAATCTCACAGCAAGACGTTCCGGCCTACCAACATTCGAAGGTGAAGAATATATCAAGTGTCTGTCCCGCCTCATATCCATCGACTCCGAGTGGGTGCCACACAGTGAAGCTGCCAGTTTATATATCCGCCCCACATTGATCGGTATCGACCCGACGCTCGGTGTTGCCTCCTCCGACTCTGCCCTGCTCTACACAATACTCAGCCCTGTGGGTTGCTACTTTAAGGCTAACAACGATGGTGCGGTCTCACTGCTCGCAGATCCACGCTACACAAGGTGAGTGTGTTAAAACCTCAAAAGAGTAGGCAAAGTGAATATTCATTTTTATGTTCGTAATTACAGAGCGTGGCCCGGCGGTGTTGGCAATCGCAAAATGGGCTCCAACTACGCACCCACGATCAATGTACAAAAAGAGGCTGCCCAAAAGGGATTGCAACAAGTGTTGTGGTTGTACGGCGAAGATCATCAACTCACCGAAGTGGGCACAATGAATATATTCATGTTCTACGTCAACGAAAACGGAGGTAAATACAAGTGCATATACAAATAAACGAAATTCTCTTAGCAATAACAATAAGTTCCTTTAACATATGCTAACGTGACGTCATACATTTTTTTACAGAGAAAGTACTGGTCACTCCACCACTCAGCGGTCTCATTTTGCCCGGCATTACAAGAGACTCAATACTCACGTTAGCCAGACAATTGGGTCAATTTGAAGTGCGCGAAGAAGTGATCACCATGCCACAAGTCTGCGAGCTGCTGAATCAAGGAAGAGTAAGTACCTCCTCTAATTCATGCTCTGCAAATGTTTCCGTTACACAAGTTGCTAAATTCTTTCTTCTCACCCACAGCTGCTCGAACTGTTTGGCACTGGCACAGCCTGTGTGGTCAGCCCCATCAATCGTATCAATTATATAGGTACCGATATTTACATACCAACCATGGAGCAGGAGAAGCCCATACACGAATGGATACGTGAAACACTAACAGACATTCAATATGGCAAAATAGATCATCCATGGGCGATGGTCATTGATTAATGTAAACACTCGCGTGCTACGTCTTCGAAATCTTTCACAATCTGTTGATGGATTCTTAGCAAAAGAAAGTGTATTAATAGTTTTAAATTTTCTTCTTTTGAGAGAAATAGCTTTACTATTTGACTATTTACATATAATTTAACTATTCGCATAGTTTATGGTATGGACGAAAGCAGCTCTAACGGATATTTTATCAACTATAACCATTATATTTTTTCGGGAAATGGCAAAGCTCCACTTTTTTTAACAATGTTTTCTAGCCAAACATTGCATTTATGTTTTGGACTTTCAGTGCGCCAATGTCAGCGGTGTATTTGTGCCGAACTTTGGCGCACTACACACACACATACATGCAAGCTCGCTGAGTTTGTCCTTTAATAATTTAAAGACTCCATATTTACGTATTAATTTCGTAAGTTTCTAATATTATTTATTTTACATGTTTAGGGTAAGGTAATATAGTTTAATTTATGAAATGCTATAGACAATATTTGTACGAATATTTTCTGTAATAATTACCTATAATATGTTATATATATGTGCATCCCAAATGTATGCTGAGAAATTAAGTTTTAGTTACCTGTGTCAATTTGTAGCTACAGCAAGTCATTGAAAGAGATTTTTTTCTCTTCTGTGAATACTCATTAGCTGAGCATGTTTACCTTGTAATTTGTAGGCACCTTTTAAAACAGCAACTTCTCAGGTATATGAAGTAAAGACATATGTATATATGTATACGAGTCTGTTGCAACTGGCAAAAGCATTCATTTATAGTTAATATTCGTCTAAGTTATTGATTTAAAACAAGAAAAGCTAAGTACCAGAGTCAAGTGCATTTATTAGTTTAGACTTCGACTTGTTGTCATTATTTTGATATTTTATTTCAAAATTCAAAATCAATGTTTTTCGCCAGCAAACAGAATATTCATGCATACCAATGTATGCGCAATATATTAAACATAACAAAAAACAATTAAAAGCAAAATAAGAAAATTTAAATGAAAGCAATAAATATGTATTGTCTCCCAACAAAGCTTCAAAAAGCTGTGAAAATTCTTTTGTGAATCGAAATTGTAAGAGTAACTGTGTATTTATAAAGTATTTAATTATGATTTTAAAAGTGCTTGTATTGGATGTACTTACATATGCTTTATAACAAATAATTGGAAATAAACAAAAAAACGCAAATTTGAAAATTGGAAAACACACAAAACAAAACAAAAAACTGTATTTTATTTCACCATCTTCTAATAAACAAAAACTATCAAGGGTCCTAGTACGCTGTTGGGAACTTTCCAGCAGCTCCAGTTTTAAGCTTCCACTGCACAGTGGAGGTAACTGCCATAAACGTGTCATATTTTTTGACATCTAGGGGAAATAGCGAAAATATAAATAAAGCACCTAAGCACATTTGTGATAGGTTTAGAGCATTTTACCGATAGCTGATATCTAAATATAAACATTTTTCGTCTGGTTCCATAAATGATTATAGATAACAGTCTAAGTGTGATCCCCCGCCAACAACGTCTAACCTAAACTTAATGATAAATATTGTACAAAATATGCTTTTAGTTGTTTTTGTAGCGGAATGATATATTACCAAAATAGTTTTGGAGAATGCTGAGAAGTTAACAGTGCTCGGTCGATCATGTATCCGGCTCTGTTCCAGTGCTCAACCAAATTTAAGAAATGCTGTTTCCCACCTTTGAAGATAAACTGGTTAAGCTGATTGAACTGGGCGGTTACATTTTGAAAGGCTGTAACTCAAAAGCTATTGAAGATATCGATTTAAAATTTAAGTATGTTCTTTTTTTTAAGATAGAACTTATAGAAGTATGAAAAAATACATTTTTTTAATTTCACACTAGGTGTCGTTCCTAATTCGTAAATATAGTCAAAGACGACCGCTAGCAGAACAGTTAAATGACTTAAAAAAAAGTATGCATTTATAAGTAACTTACAACCGGTTTTAATTAGAGCTAGAAGTTTCATCAATTACTTTCAAATAGCCGGATAAATTCTGAAATCTCAACGAAATCCGCTGATATGCGTTTATACGAATTAATATTTTTGTTATCCGAATATGTGAAATTAATTAATGCTCAAAATAAAGCAAACAAATAATTTATAAATAATATCAAGGTTCAAAACCGGAATAGTGATAACCACTCGCTCGTATCGACATTACAAGCAGTTTTAGTATACATTTACAAAAATAGTTATATCCGGATTAGTGAAAATTTGCCGGATATTCATATTGGCCTTTGATAATATAAACCGGATAAACACATTATCCGCATTAGAAAATATTAACGGGATATCTATATTATTCGTTTTTGCAAATACTAAACATTTAGAAAAATAGTGGTAATGACCTGAACCGAATATTCGCATTAAGAAATATTAACCGGATATCAGTAATACACGGATAGGAGATATAATATACGGATATTATCCGGATTGTAGCCAATTCAAAGTTTCATCGGTACTTTGGATATGTGAATTTTGGAATTTTGAAAATAATTTAAACTACTGTTGATGTCACAATAGATGAAATTTTTACTGACAACAAAGTTATGGCTATTAACAATAAAAATATTGTGAATAGAGAGGGCAATTTTGTAGTTTGGTCTCTTTTTTACCATTTCTTATGTTTGATGTTAAACTTTAGCAGATATAAAGACGCAGCGAAAGAACATTTGCGTGCTCATCATCCCAGAATCATGATTTTGAGTAAATATCCGCTCTTATTTACACAAATTACACCGTAACAAGTTATTAAATAAAACAAAGATTTTATTACTTTCACCTTAAAACTTTTGATTTAATCTCGAATTAAAATGTGCTAGTGTGTGTAGACTTTTCAAAAATGAATTGAACACATTTTGCCGTTGGATGTCTTTTGAATTGATTTAAAAACAGGCATACATATAACAACAAACTTAATATATACAATAGATAACAATAATTTTTACATATACATATATGGTAAATCCTATCTTGACAAGGGCAGCTCAGGCTTAACTTTTTCAATTCTACGTAAATACCAAAAAAGTTGATAAATTTTAATAAAAAAATTTTGTGCCATAAATTTGGAATACCAGTATTTTAAAATTTATGGTTTTTAATAAATGTTGTATTTGATTTGAATGTATTAAAAAATGTTTACACAGTGTTATTAAGTTCAGTTTTACCGTAAATGTTTTCAATTTTTTTTAGTCTACTTTTACTGTTTATATTTTTTAATATTTCTTGTTCGAGAACTGTTTAGAAAATTTTTAATTTAAATAAATAGTATTTTTATTATACCATATGCATATGTAATTTTTCAATTTTCAGTTTCTCAGTATTTCTCAGTTTTGGCTATAACATATTCCGTATATATATTTAATATATGGTCATTTATTTAATTTCATTATATAGATTATATAGTCAAATTTAACATTGTATTGTTTTAAAAGTTTTTTTGTTATATTTGTATATATTTATTAACTTCGTTTATTAGTTACGTTGTTCTGCATTAGAATTGTTTTTAGAAGGTAAAAATGTGTTGCTGTCACTGCTGCACGCTTCAAATACCAATTCGACTTTATTTTTTTCAACATTTGTGCTTAAAATAAATTTTCTTATAAATAAAAAAGTTAAAATAAATATTTGTATGTTCGACTAGTTGTTGTTGTTTTAAAAAGCTAATATATCTATATGTATGTAATAAGTTAGTATATTGAAAATAATTAACGAGATGCGTTTAAAAAACCGTTTAACGCTTTCAGATTATTTTAAATGTATGCCTTGGCTGCGCGCTTTCTTGTTGGCAAACAGAAATATTTGAGTATTTCATTTGATACCTTTGTCCTTGGAACAACCACGTAGCTTTTTGAATGAGTGCGTGCACTAAGGGCTCTTACAATGTTACATCGATATTAAATATACTTATTTTTTATAATATTTCAGGTATAATTTCAAATATTGCAAACTGTTTCAATATTTCTGCTTAACTAATTGCTTACGATTAACATTATTTTTTGTTTGTTGCACCAACAACATGCCACATGCCACATGCCTTCATACAAACGTTTGTAATGCACTGGTGTAGCGTTGCCAGCTGTGTGAGCATATGCTTCATTGCCATTTAGAACATTTCGCATTTAACCAAGTACTTAATAAGGTATGATTTTAACACTAATGTATGAATGCTTGAATCTAATATTTAAATTTTTTATATAAATAATTTTTTTTTGTAATAATTGTTATTATTAACAATAATAATTCGAATTCATCAAAAGTAAATGTACAAAATGAATAAGCGACAAAAACACACGTAAAATTATAGCTGCATTAAAATTTTCATTACAAAATAGCATTGATTACAAAATAAAAGTTAAATTAATGTTTCGATTTTCAGTAAATTAAATAGTCATACTAAAGATTTACTAAAATTAGCTCAGTCATCGAAATGCATTTCACCTCCCAACCTACCATAAATGCCTTTCAAGCCTTTAAGCCTTGAATAATTGTGGAAATTCGTTAGCGATTTCCCGCACTAACTGTTGATCCGAAGCGCTACATTCGGTTTCTTCGCAAAAAATGCGTGTAAATATTTTCATAAAGTCCTGCTTACGATGCTGGTGCTCAGCATAATTAGTATTGCGTAGAATGCGTCGACATAGTTCCAAGTAGCAACGTCGCATCTGTAGCAAAATAACAAAACACAGCTGAAGTTAGAAAAAGTAAGGACTAAGTTCGACCATAACCGAACATTAAATACTCTTGCAAATTGTAAAAATAATATTTTATAATATCCGAAAAAGGTATGACTAAGATTACAACACTTAAGGCGTTATATCTACTTGTGAGTTTAAAAAAAGTAACTTGTATTTTTGCATATATGTCTATATATCAAATGTGCATATTATATATTTGAGAATATTCGCCGAAAATGTAAGGTTGATCTGGAAAATAGTTTCCCAAACTTTAACTTGGGTGGTCGCATGAGGCAAGTTTTCTATGACTTCACAGCCTCCACTGAATGCTATGTGCCACTCAAATACTTGTGTTCGTGATAAAGTAGACTCTCCCAAAACACTTCTGCAACAACATTACAATTCAACATAAAAAAGGGTTGCACCAATCTAGGCAAAAAGTATTTATCGATTCGGTTTGCCCGCGCTGCAGTAAATGGACTAATCCGTGTCGCATTTCATCAAATAGTATGCAACTATATACTTATTTCGTATTAAGGCATTGCATACACAATTGTTTTATTTTTTTAATATATTAAAATATGCAATATCATTCAGAACTTACCGGATTACCGGCACATAAATCGGACAATTGCCGCACCAAAATATCAATGAGCACTTTGTTGTCATTCGTGTAAAACATGCCAGCTGTATCTGGATTGCTGAAGATATCGATAAACATTTTGAGCACTGAATTCATAGTATCCGTTGAGTGTTTCAACAACTTGATTGGATCCTCTGCGTAGCGAGTAAAGTGTGCAAGTTAATATTAGTATACTTGTATGAAGGAAAAGTAAATGAAGTTACCTTCTCTATTTAATAGTAATAGAATTTTCTCAGTAAATATTTTAGCGCTGGGCAAGCTTTGCATGGCTTCAACGACAACATTTTGCGAAAAGTCGGTGAATTGTAGATTGAATGCCAATATTAAGGATATAACCATATCAACTAGAGCTTCTGGATTGTTGCCTTCAACGATTTCTAAAAGGAAACTCGCAAAGTGCACACCAAGATAATCTGAAAGTAATTATTTGTGGTTATTAATATTTATTTTTAATAAAAAGTTATTTGATTTTTTATTATACAGAGGCTCGAAAACGTCAAAAAATTCAAGCTACTAACACAAAATCAACAATTTAAAAAATCACTCCTTTGTTAGATAGGCCAGGGTTATTATTATTATTTTCTTTTTAAGGGATTTTGAATTTTGTGATTTTGAAATCGAGGATTTCAAACC